GAATAAGTTTTTCCATAGAATAAATACAAATTTCTAAATATGTAGATATGATTAGATGTTCACGTGTTCATCTAGTCAGACAAAAGAATGGAATAACTTATATTTTGGGCTTATTAGTAGAAAAATAATTCACATGGAATTGTTTTACCTATTTATACGTAGTTGATTGCAGATTATTGAAGCTAGGAAGCGAATTCCTACACGCTAACATAACACCTCTCATTGAAAAGGGTTTTATTCATGGAATATTAAGATTTTGCCAGAAACTAGGTAGCTTGTGAAATTTCATTAAGCCTGTTTTAATCTACAGGTTATTATGTCTACATTTTAATTCAGAGCACCAAAATTCACGGATACAGAGAACAAAGGTTGTATATTGAGAAAGGGTCTGTTGAAAAAGTCGATGTTAGATGTGAAAACAGATTACAATGATTTTCGCAAGTGCAACTTTCATGTATGTATGTTTGACAGGATCCTTCTAACCTATTTCAGAAACAACTCTGACATTCTGCAGTACTCTAGTGTTGGGGAGATAGGAAACCAAATGGAACATGGTCTGGTGTGCTGTTACTTTAATGGTTTAATGGAAGAATCTGTCTTTGACCGAAGCAGAAGAAGGACAATTGCGTCATAAAATAACTGGTGCCAATGTAAAACATCTCATACATCTGATAACCTGTTCTTTATCCCATAGCAGACTTTAAACGTGGAAAAAATTCATAAGTAGCTTTAAAAGCAAGGCCATTGGAAATGATCACATACTTTAAGTTGAAATGAAATAAGTTATCACATATCAAGTAGCCAGTCATTTTTTGTGATGAATATTGTGCAAGTTTCATTGGAGAACAGATGTAACATAATAGACAGTCAGTTAACTGTTTGTCTTCTTGATTGCCACCCACAATAAGAGCAGTAAATATCTCCAGTGGAATAACCAAATGACTTCGATGTTATGATTACTCGATTACATCGTATCCGTCAAGTGACCGGTACCAAATGAAACATTCTGCTTATAGCAACGAGTCTCCGTGGTAAGTTTGGTCATTATTAAAAAGTTTTGAAGACTCTTTTAATGCGATTTCAAGAAACGACCTGTCCAACAACTCATTTGATCATATTTTTAGTAGCTCAGTTCAATGTGGTCAGCAATCTAGTGTATAGCAAGCGATTTCAGTGTTTTTTAAGGTCAATAGACAAACTATAAAAGCAAATGAGATGAATACTGGTTTTGACAGGATTTTCGAACACGTACAAAAAAGAGAAGTCAAGCCATAATGCAAGTCAAATACTTGTTATGTCATGCCGATACAATATAATGTTGGATTCTTACAAAATAAACTTCATTTCCACCTCCCTAATTGCTTGGTATCACAATGAATTCGAAAGCGGTGAATGAAAAAAATGTTTATTGAAATGTTACTTTTTATAAAAAGCATCACATTATTCATGTATTTGCAAGTTAACATCATAAGTTCTACATCATTTTAGCAGGTTAAGGAAAGGCAATTTAGTTGGTTCATCCAAACAGTAATTTGAATGTATAGTCTTGAAACTATTTATTCACCGTTGATTGTTGCTCACTTTGAAGGCTTGTGAGGAGCTGGTTGGTTTCAAAAGGGGCTCACATCAAACATCGATATCAGATTAGTAGTACACATTCATGACCGTTTGGTCGCATAGCATGTGTTTTACCACTCAGCCAGTTTACTACATTTCGTTGGAATAGTCTCATGAACCATGTTATTCATTGGTGCGCCTACTGAGTATTGACTGAGCCAAAGAACTCACGGTGACGATCCTCTTGTGTACAACGCGTTCCTTCTACTATGATTTGCGTCTAGTCGAGAAATGCACTCAGCGATTAGGTGCACGTCCGTGCATTATGCAGTGACGCACACCTGTTATCTAAGGGTTAATGTCACTACCTGTCTGCCCATATCTCAGTAGATGGAGCAGGGTTCAAACCCGTTACCCATTGGTTGAAACCAGTGAACCACAGCCTAACCGTTATTTGGGCATGAAAGAGGTACTGTTAACCTTCACAAAGAATTATATTTACTCATTATGAAACTGTGTCCCATCTACTTACCACCAGCTTACAGTTGTCCGGAAACAATGCAGCTCCAACTACCATGGCTTTAGCTGGTAAGAAGTACGACTCATAGCCACGTGCACAAAACAACCCTTAATCACTATGCTGTATTCATGATATAATTTCAGTAGTCAAGATCTGATGATTGTTCAAAGTTGCCTTTATATAAGCACAAATCAATACCAAACTCATCTTCAAAAGTATATACAAGTTAGCTGGATTTGTAACTCATTACTCAGCAGAGAATGACTAGTGAAATACATCGAATTAGTGGTCATTGTATATGATCTAGTAGGCACTTATACTCACACTTTTTGCTCTACCAACAGAGAGGGATTTTCTCCTCTAGATTGAAGTGAATCCCACTTGCACATGCTAAAATAGTTTACTATCTGTCCTCATAATCAGAATATGAACAAGGGTTTGTATTACAGCCTTCGCATTCACTTCAATAGTCCTAAGGAGACTGGCTTATTTATAGGTAGATTTCATAGTGATTCTGTGGAATTGTATTGATCAGGAATAAAGACGATCTCTACTTATCAACTTTGGATCATAGTTACATCAAATGGTGAATCCATCGAAGTTGGAAGACGTGGCCTAATTGATCTCGCCCCCTTTTTTAGAATGGTAATGCTTTCAGTATAATGCAACTCAATATTACTCTCAATTGTCTTTAGAACCACCTACAAAAACTCCTTAAGAGTGCTAAACCAGTATGAAGCACCAGTCAGAGCTTTTTTTGTTTTCAACAGTCAGTCCTGTATGACAACCATCATGACATCAAACGATTAAGACTGTGAATACAACGTGTGTTTATCGCTCGGTACAATGCTTTGTTTGATTACATGTCGTCAAATAAGTTTTTCTGTTTGCCACCAACAGGATCATCTTGAAGGCATTTCAAATGACTTTCGAGAACTTTGAGATATTTCACAACAGAGTATGGCATCACCATACCACCCAACAGATACTCTGAGTTCGACAGGTTCATAGATATTTGTACAAGTATTAGGAATTTCTGGATAATGGAATTCATCACAATAAGGTAGACTATACCTCTACTCATTGCTCTACACCTCTACTCTACACCACGTCTGGAATATATTATTTGAGGACAAAGTCCAAAAAAAAATACTATCTGGGAATGTGTTTCACATGCATAGAGTTAATAAACGTAGTCAAAGAAAAGCCTGGATCAACAGGATTTCAACTACTAGGTTGTAGGCTAGAAGTTTACCAGGCTACTAAAAGATGTATAACGTTGGTATTCATCATGGACTGACATAAGTTAAAGGAACATTAGAAATTTCCAGCTCAGCAGCACGGAATCCGAAGGTCCTTGGTCTGATTCACGGTGGGTTCATGTGTAGTCATTGCTGAGGAGTCCCATGCTAGGAGGAAACAGGTATCTAGTGCTTCCAGGTTTGCAATGTTTCTGCAGCACATGTTAGTCCGCGATGAATTCCAATCTGGAATCAATAAATTCCCATAAACACTGAAACTGATGTATAAAGTCTCTTTGTTAAATTCGACACTTAGTTTGGAGTGTCCTCAAACACAACCAACCACGTGTAACCCAGTTGTTAATTTGCATTATGGAGGGCCACCTTCTGTAATCGAATTATTAGCGCCACAAATTATGACCTACTCGGTACTAAGAATTGCATTTATGAAGAAATCAGAAAAACTGTTGTTCATTTCCAGTGGTGTCCAGCTACTTTCACCAAATGGTAGTCAAAAGCATACGAAAATAAATCTAGTGTACTTTGAGAGATGGGCTGGATTCAGAAAGTTGGACGATACAAAGTCTTTTCAGTCAAAACAAGCGGTAATGAAGAGATAGCCAGTACCTTGACTCATCTTTGAAGCTGTTTCTAAGTGAAATCGAAACAGAAAAATGATGTGTACATAGAAAACCTTTGATGTGGATGTTTTCCGCCGTCTAAATATTAGAAATAGAGATAATCATGACAATATAGGCAAAAATCTAAAATATTTCCAACAAATAATTCCAACTATGCGATTCAACTAATGACACAGGCTGCTAAATGTGTTGACAGTGATACAAGTTGCTGCAAAACAATGCCTCTTTGAACATTTTCGTAGAAACCGGTAATTGGTTTGTAATAGAGTAGTCTAAATTTCATTGGTAACCGAAACGTTACCCCCCTATGTTATTCAATCATAAGTTCTCTTTCTCATATTAGCGATTCCACCAATAAGATAAGTGGCTCACTACTGAGATGTACACTGACGGATGCAGAGGGGTTGATGGCAATCGGTAGGTAGCCTGGATTAACCCGTGATCCATGTTTTTGGGCATTTGTTAACGAGTTGTTTCCAAGCCTGAGGAGACTGCTATAGTCCTAAGGGAACTGAAACTCACTTAACCAACTGCTGTTGTCTCAGAGAGTATATGCTTATTTTGTTTGGTGACAAAAGTGGTAGGAGTCTTCAGATTTTAGTTTACTTCATGAACCAACATGATCTCCACCCAATGACGTTATTGAGTAAGTGTCTTCATGTCCTATTTGATTCGCCTTACCGGTTACGATTTCTCACTAGAAGTTGAAGAATTTCATTTGGAAGCAAGTCACCAATGAGCACTAACAGAATCTGACAGTTCTTGGTTGGATTTTTTACGAGGTTGTGGCTGCTCATCGCTGAGGACTCCCATTCTGAGACGAAGCAGCTGTCCAGTACTCCCAGGTTTTTCAGCTGATATCAGTCCATGATGAGTATATACTTTTGCAAACTCTTCATATTCAATACATTTTCATAGATTCTCTAAACTCATTGCTCAAAATTTTAAAGAAATCGTTATTTCAAACCACCACCACCACCACGTAAACAAATATTTACGAAAAAAAATCAATAACAATGATGATGGATCAATATAACTTACCTTTGACACTGATCGATAAATTAATACATACAATGTGACTACACTAATGATGCATAGAATATAACTACAAGTTTGACTTTTTTGTATAATTTGATAAAGAACTTTATCTATCATAGTATGATTTAATTTGATTATTTCTGTACATTCAAATTTCTCCTCTTTATCATGATATGAATTCCATGAAAAATTTAAATTTTGATCAAATGATATTAAAGTATGAGTATGATTCATTGATTTAATGATATATTGATTTTCATGATTACCATTATTATTAATATTTTCAAAATGAATTTTTTCAACACGTACAGTGAATGTTGAACTAAAGCCTAATATTAAACATATAAAAATTAAAATTAAAATAACAAGTTTAGCACGTTGTCTTGTTAAAATATTTTTGAATGGATGACATAAACAGAAATATCTATCAAATGCTATACAAATAATCAATAAACTACTGAATGGAATAAAAGTATTATTAATAAAATAATAAAATTTACATAGAAAAGATGAATCAATATTCCATTCAAGGTATTCAATAAGCATCGTACCAGGTATTAATGTAACGCATGCTAAGAAATCAGATATAGCTAGTACAAGAATAAAAAGTGTTGCTGTTAATCGATCATGTTTTAAAGCATATACAATAATGACAAGAATATTACCGAATATACCAATTAAACAGATAATTCCAAGCATGAGTAATACTGTTGGGATTTGATTGGACAAATCGGCTGTCATTAAAGACATGAATAAGGATTTTATAATGAGATATTGTTGTGTGTGTATGAATCAAAGTATTTGCATCGCTTTGTTTATTTTACTCTTATCCTTCACAGTTTTTTGGAAGATTTCTTAAGTAGTTCATCGTCCTAATGTTGAATACACTTGTATATTGAAAGTCTGAAATAGGGAGAAAACAAAAAGCATCTAAAGAAAATGTTTTAAAGACTACTCATTAATAACAGTGTATAACATGGAATATGAACTTAGTTTATTGGAGAATACTACCCTTTCTAGGTGACTGAGGGTAGTCAGTAAAGCAGTATTAGCCCCAAGTTTCACCCTTGCTGGTACTCATCACTCCTGAGTAGCCATTCTACACATACATTACGTAATCAAATTGAAGTTTTAATGAAAGAAAACCCATAAATGATTAATTTGCTCATTGTTAATTTTTGTTAACTGAGTAAATGCTATAAATACCGTGTACATTTGCTTTACTGATTAGTTTAGTGGTCAGTCGATGAGTCGATACTCGTTATGTTATATCATAGTCAGCTGCCATTGGATTGGATAGACAACATTTTGGCATACTTGATGACCACAGTTATTTAAATTAGTTATTTGTCCATCGGGTTCCTAATGGAATATAGGGCTTCAGTAACACGTCTCCATTCCACTCTGTTCTCTGAAATCTTTTCAACATGGCTCCACGACAGCCCACAAACTCTCGTTTCCTACTCACACAATCTCCTCCACGTCACCCTCGACTCAGACGCCCAACTCGTCGCTTCCCATCTGGGTTCCATTCGAGAGCCTGCCCTGACACATGATGTCCATAGTTGGCCCTCTCAGTGTATGCCCAACCCATCTCCACTTCCTCCCAGTGCAGTTTTGTTCAGCGATAGCTTCTTGGTTGGTTCGTTGCCAGCTAGGGTGAGTTCCTTGTTGCTTATTCTGATTATTCTGACCATCTGATCTTCAGTGTCGAGCCAGTGTAGACAGTGGTTGATGAATGTCTATAGTTTGTTGGAAATGCCTTTCTTAACGTGCCGAGTCTGTGAATAATACAGAGCACTGACTCGACTGAATTGATGTTGAAAATCCGGATCTTGTTCACCCTTTATGCTGAGTGGAGTGCAGTAGATGTCCACACTGGTTTCAGGTGAATGGACGCCTGTCTTGCTTCTCCGATCGTGGCTGGCTTTGACATCCTCGTCTGTACCTGAGCCACCTGTAGTTGAGACAGTGCTGCGTAGATAGGTGAGGGAGGCTACTTCCTTTAGGTTTCTCGCGTTGATGTTGATTGGATTTTGTTGTTGTTGTTGTTGGTGGTGGTGTGGTGGTGGTGGTGGTGGTGGTTGGGTATCTCCATCACCCCTGTCTTCTCTATATTCACTTGAAGTCGTGTCTTCGCTGCCCTGCCTCACCTCTTCTGTCAACTTGGTTAGTGCCTGTAGATCATCGAGTTTGTGTGACATAAGACACAAGTCATCATTGGCGAAATCCGAATCTTCTATGTTCTTTTCCTCAGTCCAGCCAGCGTATCCTCCTCTTCTCACTCCTGATAGTTTGTTGCATGATCCAGTTGACCACAATCAGGAATATCATGGGTGATAGTAGGCAACCTTGTTTCACTCCTGTCTTCACTTCACTTCAAAAGCATCACTGAGCTTCCTATTGTGAATTACTTGTTATGTGGCGTCTTCATATAGTTGTTGAACGAGATTGACAAAGGCTTGTGGAATTCTGTAGTGTTGAAACAGTTTCCAGTTTACTTTGTGGTGGACGCTGTCAAAGGCCTTCTCAAATTCGATGAAGTTGAGGTAGATTTTTGACTGCCATTCTATACTCTGTTCTATGATGACTACTGTGAATCTACATAACTTTGAGTTCATGTCCGAGTTAAATTCCTTTTAGTGCAGACAAAAGGTATGCAAGTAGGATATTCCATATACGCGTCATCTATACGGTCTATGCATCCAGCAGTAAAACACATGTAAAATTCGATGGTAATTAGCTTCTTTCTCTCCACACTGACTGAAAATCTAAGTAGGTACACTTTTGGGTCGTGAATTCATGTATATGTATTGCTGTTTCTAGGTGACACGAATGATAGCCACTCTGTGCATCTCTATTCTATTTCAGTGATTTTTTTAGGTGTTTAGGAGATCTGTTGGTGTCAGTGGGTGAAGGAGCCATTGAAAACCTTGCAGCACTGAAAATCTATTCTATTCACGAATTGGACTCAATAGTAGTGCATACTTTGGACCCCAAATGGGATTGAGGCTGGAGCCGCTAGCTGTTACTGCAAGCACGTTGTCATCCAACTGCTGCGTTGCCATTCTATAATCCCCACATTCTTATTACTATGTCTTTGAAATTTTTTATGTCTGTCGTTCAATGCCATCGGCAATTATTTGTCTTAGTAAGATTTCCTTGGTCTTTGTTATGAGTTAAGTTATCGACTACTCACTTAGAAGATTCACAGCTCATAAGAAAGAGGGAAGTCAACGTGAAAATGATATGGTGAAGTGCAGCTGATGCTCTAAGAAACTTATACCCATCAAAATACAATTATCGACTCTGATCACCCTTGGTATCCGTCATGTAAGGTCTGTGTAGCGTTAATGATGTTAATGATCATAATTCTAAACAAACAATGTGTGGGATGAATAATTTTGAGAGTAGTTTTATCGAATCTCTTCATTTAGATTATTATTTTAAATCCAGAGTGCCATATTAGGCTTACTTGGCAATATGCCGGATACCGACAGTGACTTTGATTACAAATGGCTGGCTATTACAGCATAAACCACTTTATCTACAGTGGAAGTCAGTCTTCTGTCAAATAATTTGTTTGGGATTTAAATCAAATTGTGTTTTTTATAGCAGTCAGATGTAGTACATTGAGGTAAGGGGGAGAAATTAATGCCAAGCATTTTAGAGATGAGAACATTTAAAGAAATGTTCAGTCACTGGCTAAAACACAACACTTAACTACTGAATTATGCGTTATCATATTCATTCAGCTATTCAGATTTCAGCAGTCAAGTCAGTATAGAGAATGGTGAATGGAATAATGCCTTAGTGATGAGTATCTTCAGCCTTGTTAACCCTTGATGCGGTTGATAAAAATGGACACGATGGACATGCCCAGCGAGAGGCGTCTAACGCAAACAAGTAGTTTTGCAGAATACGTTTACGAACCGTTCACCAGGAAGGAAATGATGTAGGTGTCAAGTCTTTAGGAATAAATACAGAATGCAACCCGTCGATGAAAGTCACAATTTGGAGAATAAATGAAGTAAGGTGACACTGAAGTGTACCATGTTTTGGTATCAGATGGTGGAAGTTAGTTGATAGGAATGGTAATCCCACTTTTACTGGAGTACATATAGAAGATGGATTGAATCATGGAATAAAAGTTCCACCAAGAATGAGACTGAACTGAAAGTTAGCAAACTTTGACTCCATAACACGATTTTCAAGCAATAGGTTCCGGGTTCGAACCCAGCTTCACACATCCAGTTGGTTTTGAGCAGTCGAGTAGTGTAACAGGCTCTCACACAAGAGCTATAACTTCTAGCCCAGTCAGTTAACATGTTTCAAGATTAAGCTATTTTGTCGTAATTTATTACTGTTATTGTTATTACAGCCTACAGCTGAAACTCAAACCCACACTAGTCGCACATTATTCATTCATTCCCATCATTTGTTATTCATTGATGAAAAGAAAAGTCGCTTTTAAATAGGCGCACAAATTTATCAAATAAAGGTCAAAATTCACACAACTGTCATAACAATAAATTTTCACAAAAGGAACTTGTCGCTGATTATATTTGACTGGTTAAATATCTGACATTTTGTTACTAGTTTTTTGACAAATTATTTTCTGAAAAATGTATCTCTATGCCTTATTCAAGATACTTAAAATAACATTAAAAATCGAAAATTTTTGTTCGTAGAAAACAATATTACACTATTCAGGATTCAATATTTTTAAAGATGTAATGCAACTTCAACGTAGACATTGTGCTAGCCAGGTTTACCTCCTGTTATGGTGCATGCTACTGATAAAAATGCATTGAAGTAGTATATGAAGCGGCATCTTTGGAGAATGTCAAAAGAGCAGACGATAAACCCATGAACGTTTTGAACAGAAAAATATGATATATTGGAAGCAATCCGATTGCAGAGTAGAGTAGTTAGAAGACAGACACGGGCAATCTTTGAAAAGAGGAAGGGTTATAATATTTTACCAATATCTAGTCGATACATTGTTGCTGATTATTTTCCGTTGTTCACTGGACCTAATTCGTCGGTCTCAGTTGGCATACAGGCTTCTGCAAATACTCCTCGATATTGTCTTTAGTTTAAGTTTGATGCTCATGACGGACAACGGCTAGCAGTGGAATCAAGGGAATGACTTTTGTCACATTTCGAACTCGTTAGCTTCATCTACCTAACTGCCAGTGAGTAGTATTGCCCCTACCGGGACTCGAACTCAGAACTGCCCTGTTCAATAGACCATTGGGGCACTATAGCCACTTCTTGTGCGCTGGATACAGTTTAGGTGTTGCTGTGAAACATATGTCCAGGATTTCACCTCTACACACTACTCATTATTATTATTCAGCTGAAACTACGGGCGATGTAGAGAAATCCGCGAAGGAACCCATACGTCACTTTGGTCCAGTCAACAACGCAAAATTACAAGTAATAACGTCGTCGCACAAGGAGTGGATATAGCAACTAGTGGATAACTCTTTGTCATTTAAAGAGATAAGGTCAATGCTTGACTCTCAGAGGTAACAACACCATTCACTGAGAGATAGGTGCAGCTAGCTGACCGTTAGAAATACGACGAAACGTGCGTCGTTGATTCAAATACTAGCCAGTACTCACCACTACTATTCATTCCTTAGTTGTTACGAAGATACTAGGAGAGTTTCAGCGCCTGGTCTGATTTAGTCATTAGATAAGGTAGCTTTAATATAGCACACGGATTATATTACAGCCTACTTAAATAATGTAGACAGCTTGTTGCAAATATCGACTGTTTTTTCACCAATGAATCTGTTTTTTCATGTTGCAAATTTCTATTACATCAGTTGCTCCATAGTTCTGACAAGAGATGACTCATGGCATTCGATGAGTTTAACCACTCAGGAACCTAG